CATTTTTGTTCACATCCTTTTTAATCTTAACTCAGTTAAAAGTTCTTTAGATAGCCACCCTGGCTTCTTTAGGCACCTTCCATGTTTCCATCTCATTGGTATTGCCTGACGTTGTGCTTTTAGTATCTCCCTCTTAACAAACTCCCAGCCATCATGAACTCCCTTTCCTTTTAGTATTACTGTCCATGGGATCTCACCCAGCACTTCCCTAAGTTTTATGAAGTCAGCTTTCTTAAAGTCAAGAAATTGAGTCCTAGTATGCTTGGCTGCTCCTTTCCGCTGTATAGTAAACTTCAGAAGAGCATGATCACTTGCGCCTAATGATCCTTCCACTTCTACCCCACTAACCAGGTCATCAACATTGGTTAGGACCAGATCTAAAATGGCTGTTCCTCTTGTTGCTTCTCCCACTTTCTGGACAATGAAGTTGTCTGCAAGGCCAGTGAGGAATCTGTTTGATCTTATGCTCTTGGCTGAGTTTGACATCCAACAATTCTTCTAAAGGTTGTATAGTTACTTATCTCCTTCACTCGGGGGTTGCATCTCCATACATTCCATCATTTCTCTGATGAAAACAGGGACATCCTACCACATCATCCAATGTTTATTATTTATTTATTTATTCTGCATTTTCAAAAACAGGAACAGAGAGCATATTTAACCCTGCTCCCCCTCCCTCCCCTCCCCCTGTTCCACTTTCAACTTTGTACCAAATACAGCATGTGTACTTATACCATATGACTTCCCTTCCACACTTTACCTGATTCCTTTGCTTTTCTACTACTCCGCGCAATCCACATCTTTTTAATCATCCAATTTGTTATCAATTAAAAACTCTTATCTATTTCAGCTCTGCTGGATTCACTCGAAACCTGCCAAGCTGTGTATTTGTTTATACTGGTTCTTAAAATATTCAATGAACATTATCCATTCCTCCTTGTATTCCTTATCTTTGTTTGTAATAAATAGTAAACTTTGTTGGACTAGTCATGTCGTGCGGATGCCTGATTATCGTCTTCCAAATCAACTACCGGTACTCTATTCTGAACTTATAAACGGAAATCGTAATGCTGGTGGTCAACAAAAGAGGTTCAAAGACTCTCTCAAGGAACATCTTAAAAAATGTATTATAAACACTGACAACTGGGAAACACTGGCCTGTGAGCGCTCCAATTGGAAAACAGCCTTTGCCAAAGGTGTCAGGGGCTTTGAAGACACTCGAACTCAGGACACAAGGGAGAAATGCGCTAAGAGGAAGCCATGGTTGGCAAACCCTCACTATGATCAACTCCTGCCTGGAAACCAATGTCCCTACTGTGGAAGGACGTGAGGATCCAGAATTAGCCTCCAGTGTCACTTACAGACTCACTGTTAAAACCATGTTTATGGAAGACAATCTTACTCGGCTATGAGTGATTGCCAAAGAAGAATAAATAGTGAAAGAGGTGAAGAGAGTACTTGGGATCAGGAAGCATGGCTGGGCTCCAGAACTGGTGGCAGAGAGAGACATGTGGGACATTGTGGGAAGGATACTGCTGTGCTCCCTGGATGACTGGTGGACATCACAGGTGCATCTTGAGGAGAATCTTTGCAGTTTTTCAGACAGCTGGGGAGCTTATGCCACTTAGTATCACACAGACACAGAAGTGGGAAGAGAAGGACACAGAAACCACACACATCAATATTACCAAGCAGAACCCTTACAACTCATGGGAGCCTTCATGAAAATTCAGATGATGGCATTAATGCAGAACACCCTCCTTGCTTTTCCTTGCCATGGAGGGAACTATTGCCAGGATGGACTCAAGAATCCAAAATACATTCCCAATTGCTTTCAGAATACCAATGGAGATTAATTGAATCAATGTCCTACAAACACAGTCATCAAATGTTCTACATAGACATTAATCAAAAGTGTGTAACACTGTGTGATAGCTTTCCAATAGTTTCTCAAAGGTAATGAGAACGTATTTTCTTCCCTTGCCAAGACTCAATAGGTTTTTAGAGGCACAATTTTTTATTTATTCATGTAATGAATTTTTATACCGCTTTTTATCCTAGGGTTGCAGGGTGGTTTACCGTATGAAAACACAAAAATACATAATATTATGAGGTTTATTTGAGGGTAGTGGTGGTAGACTGTATGCCAAGACCCTTCCAATGCTGAAATCCAGCAAGTGTTAAAATCTATTCAAGGATTCAAATTCTCAGAAGAGCCAGGCTCGCTTCATGGTGAGGTAATGGGTCTTTAAGGTAACAAAGGAAGTGGATCTGTTCCAGAAGGATGATAGGTGGAGCCTCCTCCCCTAACTTGATGGTAGTTAGAAAGACAAAGGCCAAAGCTGAGAGTTGAGTAATGTGAGCTAGAAGCTGAAAGCAAAGTTGCAGGCTGTGAAGCCAGAGATATGCCTGATTTCTGTTGGAATCCAAGGCTCTGGCTATGGGGGAAGCAAGGCCCTTTTGAGTTTTTAATGCTGTAACCCCCCCCCCCCACAAGATACCAGGGCCCTGCGGGATTTGACATCTTTCCGCAGGGCCTGAAAGACAGAGCTGTTTCGCCAGGCCTTTGGTTGGGGTTCAGTCTGATTCTTTTCTTTCTGTATAAGAACAAGCATTAAAAAGGCCTCCTAGCCCGCTCATAGGTCCTTTATAAGACCAGTGGTAACAGCTGGCCCTGGAGAATATTAACCACTCTCAATTTTACCCATGGACTGCCATCTGTCCAGATTTTAATTTGCTCTGAACTAATTTTAAGATGTATTTTAATTAACTGATTACCAGTTTTTATGTTCTTTGTATGCTGTGTTAGTTTTGTGATGTTAGCTGCCCTGAGCCCAGCTCCGGCCGGGGAGGGGGGGTACAAATAAAAATATATTATTATTATTTATTATTGCAGACTCAGGTTGTATATCTGTGTAAATAAACCATATATCATAAAGACACCACAGTCTCTGCTGTCCTTCATGCCAAAGGAAACATGAACCTTCAGGGAACACCTGGAATCTCACACCACTCGAAGATTGGGGTGTCATGCAACAGTCACATAATAACAAACAAAACAATAACCCCTCCCAATATAGTTCTGAACCTGTTGACACAGCTCTTTATGGATCAGTTCACTCACAGCTATGACGTTTGTCTATCCACTCCACCAGCAACTGAGCGGGTTGGAAACCTTATAGTCTTTCCAATCACAGCACTGATGTTGTGAGCAAATACCCTTATGCTAAGTATACCATCCTAGAGACCTTTCTGTGGAACCAAGCTTGATGCTCCATGAATGGCAACATGAAGTCCGCACAAGTCTAATTCTGTTTCATACTTCTCCACTACAATGGAGGGATATATGGCTTGAAGAAACCAAGTGATCTTTTTTTCAGCCTTCACCTTGGGTTCTAAGTGGTTGTTTCAACTGGAAACATTTTACTAAAAGCCCTTTTGATGGAACCGAGTCCTGTAGGAACAAAGCCAGCAATTAATGAAATATGATAAAATAATAAAAGTAGTAATACATTAACTATATTATCCTTCCACATTTGGACAGTTCTTTTCATTATATCCTCTTTATGGACATCCTCCAGTCACATTTGAAAAGCTGCTTTATTGCAGTTCTGCGACTATTTTGGTTTCCAGACATTTAACAATCTACTTAATACCAATGTTCTCATTTGTCCTTCCATTTTCCACTGCAAGACATTATGCAAATGTTGAAGAGGTTTTTCTTTTATTTTCTTTTTGTCCCTGTTGTGTTCTGGATATTACATCTGCACCATTCCTGTAGGCTTCTGAATCTTTGTTTTAAATAGATTGTGAAACCTGACTATTTCTCCCTCTCCATCAGTATGTCTGGGATGAAAATAGCATGCTTATGAGAAGAAAACTCACCTACGTATGCACACAAGTTGCGTTTTAGAAACGAGATTCAGATTCATAGTGGGAAGGGATCAGTAGATCACCTGGGCCTGTGTTAAAATCCCATCACAGTCCCAGAGCGATGCAAAAGGGTTAAAATAAAAAAGTGTAGTCTTCTTTTCTGTAATTCATTTTCAGTCTTGCACAGCTTGTGCTTTACCAAGTCTAAATGCAGCTCAGCAGAGCAGAGATTTTTGGTGACTTAAGTAAAGCACACAAGGAATAGTCTGCTTTTGCTTCCTGCTAGAACAGTAAAAACAGGAGCGTGTGGAGCAACTTGCAGCCCACAGTACATTGTCAGTGGGCAGCACCTGCCTTGGTGGGTTCCACACTGAACAAGAATGGAGTATATCCATGGAGTTCAGAACATAGGAAGCTGCCCTATCAATCTCCCTCGGGAGGTTGTGGACTCTCATTCATTGGAGGTTTTTAAGGAGAGATTGGATGGCCATCTGTCACTGATAGATAGAATCATAGAATTGTAGAGTTGGAAGGGACTGCCAGGGTCATCCAGTCCAACCCCCTGCAATATAAGAATCTGTTGCCCTAAAATGGGGCTCAAAAGGAAAACCCTGAGATTAAGGGTCTCACACTCCACTGACTGCTTTAGCTGAGATTCCTGCATTGCACGAGGTTGGAATAGGTAACCCTTGGGATACCTTCAAACTCTGCAAATCTGTGATTCAGACTGAAATGGTTTATCTAGCTTAGTATTGTCTACTACTTAGTATTGCGGCTTTGTCCCCATTGAAGTGCAGAGTGTTTGAGGACCAGGATATTCGCAGGGAAACCAAAATGCTTGTTTACAAAGCTATTGTACTACCAACCTTACTGTATGCTTGTGAAACATGGACCACTTATAAACGCTATCTCCAACTCCTCAAAAGATTCCATCAACGGTGTCTCTGAAAAATCTTACACATCACTTGGGAAGACAGGCGAACCAATACCAGTGTACTGGAAGAAGCAAAGATCACCAGTGTTGAAGCAATGGTTCTTCAACATCAACTTCGTTGGACTGATCATGTTGTGCAGATGCCTGATGATCGTCTTCCAATTTGCCTCGAGACAGTCTTTAAACCTCTTTTGTTGATCACCAGCATTACGCTTTCAATTTTTAAGTTCTATTCTGAACTTAAAAATTGAAAGCGTAATGCTGGTGATCAACAAAAGAGGTTTAAAGACTGTCTCGAGGCAAATCTTTAAAAATGTATTATAAACACCAACCATTGGGAAACACTTGCCTGCGAGCACACCAATTGGAGAACAGCCTTTACCAAAGGTGTTATGGGCTTTGAAGACACTTGAACACAGGACGCAAGGGAGAAACAAGCTAAGAGGAAGGCACACTTGGCAAATGGACACTGTGATCAGCTTCTGCCCCGTAACCAATGTCCCCACTGTGGAAGGACGTGTGGATCCAGAATTGGCCTCCATAGTCACTTACGGACTCATTGTTAAAACCGTGTTTATGGAAGACAATCTTACTTGGCTAAGAGTGATCGCCAAAGAAGAAGAACAACACAGACTGGCAGCAGCTCCTCAGGGTTCCAGGCAGGGGTCTTTCTGCAGCCCTACCTAGAGATGAAGGGACTGAACCCAGGACCATCTGTATCAAAGCAGATGCTTTTCCACTGTAATATGGTCTTTCGCTATATCATATCTCCAATAGTAGGCCCACCACCAATGACAAGGAAGTTCTGTAATCATTAGGAGTTGTCCTAATCAATGGAACACCAGCTGAAACTTAGTGCAAATGAGGACGGTATGTCTTATTTTACTTAGGCTTCATAGAAACTGTGTGGTATTCTTTATATATCTTTCATGTGTTTCCTCCTCTTCTTCTTCTTCTCATTCTGAAATAGCATTCTTCCACTCCAGGAAGTAATTTTTTTTTTAATTGCCAGCCATGATCTGCAAGAGCTTTGCCAGGCTGTGAGAGAAATGTCAATTAATTGTCAATTCGGAATACTGAGGAAATTGATTAATTGGCACCATGAAAATCCCCAAATCAGCAGCAATAAATAATTCTTTTCTAAAAAAGTTTTGACCCAAGAAGTGCTAAAACACCTCAGATTGCTGCTGCTGCTGTTAAAAATGACTGATGAAGCTGTATTCTCACTGTAATCTTTGTAGGTCCTAAAACGTCTGACTAATTGATCATCACAAGAATGACACAAAGCCAAGAATGGAACAAAGTGTCACCATTGCTGAATGAGAGACCCCACCTATAGCCCTCATTTCATTTCTATTTTCCCTCCACAGTTTTGCTGGTGGACACCCTTGATTATTCTGAGGTTGAGGAATAGGGCAAGGACCATATCTTCTTAACCTTTGATGTCTATTGAATGAAATGCCATGCTTGGGCTGGATTCTTTCAGATTTGTATTGAGGGTAGCATCATGGATGCATGTTATGGGGGGTTTAGACATGCAGCATAATGAAGTGGAAGTGGTTGAAGTCTGAGATGGCTGAGTAGTGTAGACAACTCTGGACAACACAAGAGTGTTCCTGGCTACTTCTTTGGAATGCTCTCTCATGCAGTTAAACCAAACAAAGAAAACTGCACATAGAAAACTCGCATGCCAAGAAGAGAGCTGACTAGAACCTTTCTCCATGATGAGCTACTACATTTCAAGGGAGATTGTTGTTGTTACAGTGGTACCTTGGTTCTCAATCTGTTCCGGAAGTCCGTTCCAAAACCAAAGCGTTCCAAAACCAAGGCGTGCTTTACCATAGAAAGTAATGCAAAACGGATTACCGTATTTTTCGCTCCATAGGACGCACTTTTTCCCCTCCAAAAATGAAGGGGAAATGTGTGTACGGCCCTATGGAGCGAATGCAGGCTTTCGCTGAAGCCTGGAGAGCGAGAGGCGTCGGTGCGCACCGACACCTCTCGCTCTTCAGGCTCCAGGAAGCTATCTGCAAGCCTTGCGCACCCGGGGGGAGTTCCCCTGGGCACTCAAGGCTTGCGGGCAGCAGCCTGCAGCGCGGAGCACGGGGCGCCCTTCGGAGGACGCCCCGTGCTTCGCGCAGTAGTCGGCAAGCCTTGCGCGCCCGGGATCTCCCGGGAGCGCAAGGCTTGCGGGCGGCAGCCTGCAGCGCGGAGCACGGGGCGCCCTCCGGAGGACGCCCCGTGCTTCAGCGCAGGTGTCGGCAAGCCTTGCGCACCCGGGGATCTCCCCGGGAGCGCAAGGCTTGCGGGCGGCAGCCTGCAGCGCGGAGCACGGGGCGTCCTCGGAGGACGCCCCGTGCTTCGCGCAGGTGTCGGCAAGCCTTGCGCACCCGGGGGATCTCCCCCGGGAGCGCAAGGCTTGCGGGCGGCAGCCTGCAGCGCGGAGCACGGGGCGCCCTCCGGAGGACGCCCCGTGCTTCGCGCAGGTGTCGGCAAGCCTTGCGCACCCGGGGGATCTCCCCCGGGAGCGCAAGGCTTGCGGGCGGCAGCCTGCAGCGCGGAGCACGGGGCGCCCTCCGGAGGACGTCCCGTGCTTCGCGCAGGTGTCGGCAAGCCTTGCGCACCTGGGAGATCTTCCTCCGGGATCGCAAGGCTTGCGGGCGGCAGCCTGCAGCGCGGAGCACGGGGTGCCCTCCGGAGGACACCCCGTGCTTCGCGCAGGTGTCTGCAGCCTGCCACCCGGCGCGTGGGGCGCCCTGAAGCAGAGCGCCCCTCACGCTGGGCAGACATTGGCCAGCCCCACAAGCTCGGGGGACAATGGGGAGGCGCAGTGCCACCATTCCACTGTTCCCGACCTGGTTTTGGGGGGGAAATAAAGAAAAAAAAATTTCCTTTATTTCCCCCCCCAAAAAGTAGGTGCGTCCTATGGGACGGAGCGTCCTATGGAACGAAAAATACGGTAATCTGTTCCAGATTTTTAAAAACAACCCCTAAAACAGCAATTTAACATGAATTTTACTATCTAACAAGACCACTGATCCATAAAATGAAAGTAATAATCAATGTACTGTACTATAAAAAAAATAAGACAGCATTGTAGATGATAAAAATTAAAACTATTTTTTTCTTACCTGCACTGATGATAGTCATTGTTTGGATGGGGGACTTTTATCCATTTCCACAGTCACACAATCAATCAATCAATAGCTGAACTGGGTTCCACACAGTCACAAAAACAAATTAACTGAAAAAGCCGCAAAAACAAAAATGCAAAATAAATAGCAAAAACAAACGCGCCAAACTTAATCTGTTTCGGAAGTCCATTTGACTTACAAAATGTTCGATAACCAAGGTGCAGCTTCTGATTGGTGCAGGCACCCTGGAAACAACCACATTGGACTTTTGGCTTCTGAAAAATGTTCGGAAACCGGAACACACACTTCTGGGTTTTCAGCGTTTAAGAGCCAAGGCGTTTGAGAATCAAGGTACCACTGTATTATTAAAAGGGATCATTCCAATACCACCCTGTGTATCTGCAGTAACAGGCAATCAGGGCTGAGTCATGGAAAGAGCCAGGAGTCTCTGCCACAAAACAATCAGGGTCAGAGGGCCAGTCAGAAAGCAAAATACAGAGAACAAACCAGGGGTTGGTAATGAAGAGCAATTGGGATCAGAGGGCAAATCAAGAGGCAAGAATAGAGATGAAGCCACAGTTAAGGAGCAAAGGAAACTCCAGAAACACAGAAGAAGAACAGTTCTCAGGTAGATGACGTTGCTCAAGCAATGATTGAAAAAGCAGCCTTTGTTTTTAAAGTCTGTTGACTTTATCAATATTTTCTTATGAATATTTTATACTATTTTGTGTAAAGCACTTAGATTTTTATTATTATTATTAAGTGTTCTATAAATCTCGTTAAATAAATTACTTCCTCTCTATGATTGGCTTTCTGTGTAGAGGATATATTTAATGGTTTGTTTGTGTTTAAAACTCTACTATATATATATATATATATATATATAAAATATACTTATGTTCCTGGCACACAAGGAATTAAAGCAAGCTCCCCAAATCTAAATCAAAGAAAACAGCATTCCCATTTTTCAACACACAGTGAAAATAGCAAGTTGTAGCGATTCCTTATCATCTGAAACACTAGCGCTGCACTGATCTTTTCATCATATTTCATTATCAAATGCAAGGTTAAATTCATTATATAGACATTGGTGGTGTGCGCTTTGCAAGGTTAATGCTAGTACAGTGATAACTCCTCTTTGAATATAATTATATTTTCTTGCATTCGCTCTGATATGTATATTCCCTTGCTGGCCTGGATGATATAGGGAACCCATGTTAAGTCTTTAAGCCAGCCGTGTTATTAGCATTTGGCATTAGAATTCATTATATAAATTTATTGAAGTGAGAGTGGAATCTACCAAATACAGTGTGTAAAGGGCAGTTGTTGCCCAGGATATGTTTTCTACATTACGCTTGTAGCTAATGACTCGCGACGATCCATTACCAGTATATATTACACTTTGGGATGGTGCCCAAAAGCTATTTCCACTGAAAACAGTTTAAAATTAAGAATCAATTTACATGGGCCATATCAACACACATCAAGCTCAACATGTCTCTTCTCAATGGGAACCCTGGTTTTCTAGCCGAGGAGATGAATGAGTAGAACACTCAAAGTTCTGGTGAAAAGAACAATCCTCATTCCTCCACTTACTCTTTTATGTGGATTCCTGGACGCATTGTTCCAAAGTCTCTCGCTGTGACCCATTTGTCATATAACTCTTTACTACAAGGAAAGTTACACAGCTATTTTTTTATTATTAATGTGGATCCCAAGTTGCAGACTAGCATTAAAAGGTGGATGCCTGATATGAAAAGATTCAAGGTTGCCAAATGATATCTCGGAAGGCAGAGGAATTGCTGAATATGATTTTCAGGGATCAGAGGGTGGTAATCCATAAAGCCCTTTACTTTCTCCTATCTCCAGGCAGGGCTAGATTTAGGTTTGATGAGGCCCTAAGCTACTGAAGGTAATGGGGCCCTTTATATGTCCAGCTGTCCTTTGTCAACAACAATTTGTCGCTGTTTTTTGTGTTGAATATATGCTATATGGTAATTTATGGACCTAACAGGTATCTAAAGCCGTTTGCCACTGCTGCTGTATGTAGATTTTATTTCATTTGTTTTTTTATCTTATTTTTTGGAAATGTACACCCAGGTTTTTTCCCTTTAATTTTTTTGGGGGCCCCAAGCTATA